TCCATCTTTTTGTCTTTTTAGCTATCTTTTAATCTCAATCTAACTATTCTATATTTTTCCTATATTACTCACTCTTTCTCTCCTCCGCTCTTTTTCTCTATTTGTCTCCCTTTCTCTGTTGTTGTATCTGTAGCTCTTTTTAGCTCTCTGTCTGTCTGTCTTTCCCTCTCTCTCTCTCTCTCTCTCCCCCTTTATCTCTCGTCCTACCACTATCTTTCTCACTTTCCATCTTTTTATTTATTGCTCTCTTTTAATCTCAATTTAAATATTCTATGACTGTCCTATAACACACTCTTTCTCTATATGTCTCCCTTCCCCTGTTGTTGTGTCTGTAGCTCTTTTTTATTCTCACTTTAGCTCTCTCTCTCTGTCGCCCTCTCGCCCCCCTACCACTATCTTTCTCACTCTCCATCGTTTTATATTGCTAGTTCTCTTTTAATGTCAATTTAACTTTTCTATGTCTGTCCTATTGCTCACTTTTCTCTTTTCTTTTTCCTTCACCAATTGTCTCCCTTTCCCTCTTGCTGTATCTGTAGCTTTTTTATTCTCACTCTAGCTCTCTCTGTCCATCTCTCCTCTCTTCTCTCTCTCGCTCTATCTATCTTTCTCGCCCTCCCCCTCTCTTACCCTCTCGCTACCCCATCATTCCCCCTACCACTATCTTTCTAAAACCTTTTCCATCCTATTGACAGCTCCTTTTTAATCTCATTTTAACTCTTTAACCTGTCACCCCATCACTGACTCGTCCTCTCACCCTCTCTCACTCTCTCTTTCGCTACTTTTCCCTCTTTTAGTATTTATAGCACTTGTTTTTAATTTCACTCTAGCTCTTTGTTTCCGTCTTTCAGTTTCTTTCTCTTCCCTTGTTGTTGTTTCTATGTCTCCTTTATTTTCACTTTCACTTTGCTCATTATCTCTCTCTTTTTTCTCTCTATCTATATATAAGATCTACACGACATTTATCCTATCAAAGACGTAATGACACGACTCATCTACAGCCTCTGTACTGCTGTTCTTTCTCTTCATCTCAATACCATAACCTTCATGTTCGCCTAAGACACAGGTCTTCCTTGTTGCCTACATTGTTGTCATTCCCACCTGATGATGGCGCATTCAACCGTTATCCAAAGTGAAAAGTATTCCTATGGCAAACGTGAACAGACAATAAACATGAACTAAAAACACGAAAATAATCATTGAACCCATATGATTTATGGACAAGAATGGGTCAGTAAACAACTCCAATACTTATGACATCCAGTCCAAACTACACATGTGCTTCATTCTACGTACACCATTCTACAGAATCTAAATCTTTAGCATCTTTTGACCTTGCCAAATCCGCGAAGCGTCGTGCCAAGCCAAATTATAAGTTTACCCTAATCCATTAATGAAGAATCTTCAAGTTCTGGGATAGCCATAATAAACATTTACCCTAGTAAATAACTTACTAACATCGGCACCATCGTTATCCAATTTCCTGAAAATATTCACTTTAAGGTTTAGTTGCAAATATTAATGTTACTATCAACTAATGCAGCGTGATTTAGAGCATTAAATTTCTGTACTCTTAGAGTCAGTAGGAGGTGAATGTTAGTTTACCTACTCGTCAGCATTGATAATAGGTCAGGTGCAGCGTCCCACGGTCGGCACTAAATGCGTTAAAGTGCATGCACCGGCTTCGGTCCGATTTCTGCATAATACCCCCCGGTAATCCTAAGGGTAAACACATCCCGCATTTGCCACCCCTCGTTTCTTACCCCCAGACCCCGTCGCACCCCCGGCACGCATCGGCGAGTCCCAAAGCTCCTGTGAGTGACAGATTGAAGTAATCGCCGGCAGTGCGATGGATGGGCCGGCCCCAGCTGCTTCCCCCGATATTAAGAATGTCTCCCATCCACTGGGGCCTGTATAATCATCCCCTTTATGAACGGGGTCGATGGTAATAAATTACATCGGATATCAATTTGCCTCGTCCAGGCGGCATTTCAATAAATCTCGGCCCCAATAAAAACCAATGCGGCCCGCTCAAAGCCCCTCAAACACTCTTGACATTAAATCATCCACTCTATCCTAGAGCCGTCTTACAAAATCAAGCGACAATACTTTTTAAATTTCTAACAAAATCGTCACTATTACAGTATGCTTACTGATTGATTGCAGACTTTTTATACTTGATAATTTAATCTTTTCTCAGTCATTTTCATTAGTAAATGATAAATATTCTCATTCCTTTAACCAGTGAACAAGCAGAATAGTTTAATGATATCTCCTTTATCTTAGATTTTATGGGTTCCTGGCCTCCCTTCATTCCAGGAAAGGATCGAAGACCTCTCTGACGTGGGATTGACTGAGGGCTTTCTTCATTGTTTCCGAGTGAAAATAAAAGAAGACGTGTTCTTAAATTTTCCCACTGATGATTGTATAAAAAAATAAGTGTCAATTTAAAGGTAAAGGTCAAAACTGGCAGCCTAACTATACTGATAGTCGTAGAGAAGAATGACTGATAATATGTAATACGCACGTATATTATTCGTATGTAATCGTTATATTTACTATGTCAAATCTTACCTTCTCTTCAAGATTTTTTGATTCAACCGTTTAGAAAAGTTTCAACAAAAATGAAAATGTAGAACACAATACATCAGGAAAATAAAATATGAGAAGCTTGAATTGACCATAAACCGAGCCACTATAATCCAATATTAAAAACATGATTTTAAATTCACTAATTTCGTGGTCCGCTTGACCAATTAAAGAAAAATGGCAAAAAGGAGGGAAAACTCATAAGGTGGGGTTGAGATAGGAAGTTGATGTCCGAGTGGATCGAGGTCACGATAGCTCAAGTGGTAGAGCAGAGGCATATCTAGCCGAAGATCGTGGGTTCGAATCCCGCTCGTGCCATTAACTTTTTTTTTCATCTCAACTAAAAACTTTAATTAATTATAATTAAAAACATGTTGGATTTCAAGAGAATATTTCATAGCATAACAGAAGAATTTACGTACAAGGCCCTCACCGAGCTAAGTATTGATGATGGATTGAATTGGTCTACTTTTCTCTCTTGTAAAATGAGTGCAACTTCGTTTTAGAACAAGTATTAAGGAACAAAGAAAGGAAGCAAGAAGAAGAAATATACGATTTTTTCGAGTTGTACTGTTTTGGTGGAAGTTTATCATGAAAAGATGAATATCAATGAAGCCATTAATTTATTACAGTACATCAGTTTATTTGGAAGCTTTTCACTCACATTGTAAGCAACTTCAGCCTTATCATTTACAGAAGTAATTCTTATAAATAAATGACCGAGACAAATACATATATTTTGAAAAATCTGTGTACTAATGATTACTTAATATGTTGGAAGAAGTGGAAGAAAAATAAAACCCAGAAAAAAAGTACATTTTGTTGTATTAGAAAGAATAAAAAATTGGAAGATAAAATAAATAAAATGAAAGAAGAAGCAGAACAATGTACTAATAAAATAAAAATTGACTAAGAGAAAGGACAAAGAAAAATAGTACAATGATGACGTACAGGAACGGGTCAAGACTGGTGAACCGTTTAATCAAAAGAGGCCATAACTTCTCAAAAGATAAAGTACAGTTTTTCACCGTGAAAATTATGGTAGGAGACCCAACAAATCGGAAGGGCTGGAAATAAACATATAAAAATCATTAAGGTGGCCATTCACGATCGCGTTGAGATGGGAAGTTAGTGTCCGAGTGGATCGAGGTCACGATAGCTCAAGCGGTAGTGCAGCGGCCTATCTAGCCGAAGATCGTGGGTTCGAATCCCGCTCGTAACGCTGAATTTTTTTTATCTCAACTAAAAATCCTTAATTTTATTGAAAGATATTAATTCGTCAACCGGACCACGAAAACTAGTTAATTTTGTGTTAATATTTTGTTCTTGATATGAGTTAAATCGTTTAATTACTATTTTCAATATGAAATGTTAATTTCTTCTCTGTGAACTTCATACATTATTAAGACACTAACTTCCCATCTCAACCCCACCTTTTGAATTTTCCCTCCTTTTTGCCATTTTAATTAATTGTAATATATTAATTGGTCAAGCGGACCACGAAAATTAGTGAATTTATTCGGGAAAATGTTGTACATGCTCCATGTCACAAACCATGATGTATGGTTAACCTAAATAAAGACAGCTTAAATCGGCCCAGTAGGCAATGACGAGAAGTGCTGTAAAGCAAGTGAAGAGAAGCAAATGGAGAAGAGGAAAAACATAAAAACAGAAAATCACCAGGAAAAAACACCAAAATAAATGAATTCGAACTAACAGTTTGTCATAAAAAAATAAATAAAAATAATTAAAACCCCCATAAAGGGTGAATACCATCATGGACGGATTAGTAAAATCTGAATAACTCACGATACCTGAAGAAAATAGGAATGATGGAAAGGCCTTTGTTCAAATGGATCTTATGGAATAATAAAACTTTATCATCACACCAAATCATTAAAAAGATTATTATTATATCATTTTAAATGTTTAATGTTTGAGTTAATTAGATAAATAAGACTTCCTGGAATTTATTACTACATACTAACTTTATTTATAAATCCGTTGTATTTCGTAATCCGATTGACCAAATAACATCTTTCAATTAATTAATCTTTAAGTAAGTTATTGGTTGAAATGAAAAAGCTAAATATAAAAAAAGGCACGATAGCTCAACTGGTTAGAGTATCGGCGTATCCCGAAGGTCGTGGGTTCGAATCCCGCTCGTGACACTAGCTTTTTCATTTCAACCTTACATAAAGATTAATTAATCGAAAGAAGTTATTTAGTCAATCGGACTACGACATATAACGGATTTAATAAGTAAAATGAAGTGCATCTTCACTACAGCTCTCCGTGGCCATTTCATTCGTCGTCGAGGATCGAATCCCGGTTACATATTTGAAAAATGGCAAAAAGGAGGGAAAATTCGATAGGTAGGTTGAGATGAGGAGTTGATGTCCGAGTGGATCGAAGTCACGATAGCTCATGCGTTTAGAGCATCGGCGTACTGAGCCGAAGGTCGTGGGTTCGAATCCCACTCATGACACTAGCTTTTCATTTCAGCCAATACCTTACAAAAAGGTCTATTTATAAAATTATAACACGATGACGATCCCATAATTTACACATTCCTTTGCTGTTGTTTCGTTTTAAAATTTTCATTTGATTAATACTTAATTTATTATGTAATTGAGAACAATGGTATGTTGAGGAAAAGTGAAAACATCTCAAATCAAAGAAGGATACAGGTGTTTTGTAAGTGATTGTTCTCTTCACAGATTTTAAAATCATTGAATAGAACCATCATTTACAACAAGTGAATTTACATGCTAACCCCGCCTTCATAATTTCTATTAAGATATTTTTATTAGCATACCTTGAAAACTACGATGATGGAAAATAAATAGTAAATACCTTTCTATTCCTGTGAGCCTGGGGTGTCTGTATTTTTTCGAAAGTAGCAAACCTCCTCCCCATGCGGCCTGAGACAAAATTGGCAATTAAAAGACAAATTCCAAACACCTCGCCGTGGCTGCTTACATCTATGTGCAGCCAGAGTTTGTATTTCTGGCAGATGTCGGCGATTTCGTTGATGGAGTCGAACGCCCCGAGCACCGTTGTGCCGGAAGTGCAGTTGACGAAAAACGGTATCTGGCCCTTAGACTTTCTCTCCAGCACCAATCTCTCAAGCTCTGACGTGATCATGCGCCCTCTGAAAATGGTCCAGTTAATAAACACAAATTCTAATTTATCTAATATTTAAAACGATATATTATGCACAAATATATGCTGATCATGTTTGCTTACTAAATTCTATGGCCAATAAAATTATAAAACCCCATAACTGGTAATGCTTGGTTGTTATGACTTCATAATAAATTCATGGTTCCCATTTAACTTTTGTGATTAGTCAATAGTTGGTTATATTTATTAATTGTTATTAGTCATTTTTATTACTAACATTTGATCCTTTCTACTATGATATAATCATTAATATTAATGATCCCATTTAACTTTTGTGATTAGTCAATAGTTAGTTATTTTTATTAATTATTATTAGTAATTTTTATTAATAACATTTGATCCTTTGTACTATGATAATCATTAATAATAATGATCCCATTTAACTTTTGTGATTAGTCAATAGTTAGTTATTTTTATTAATTGTTATTAGTCATTTTTATTAATAACATTTGATCTTTTGTACTATGATGTAATCATTAATATTAATGATCCCATTTAACTTTTGTGATTAGTCAATAGTTGGTTATTTTTATTAATTATTATTAATCATTTTTATTAATAACATTTGATCCTCTGGACTATGATATAATCATTAATATTAATGATCCCATTTAACTTTTGTGATTAGTCAACAGTTAGTTATTTTTATTAATTGTTATTAGTCGTTTTTATTAATAACATTTGATCCTTTGTACTATGATATAATCATTAATATTAATGATCCCATTTAACTTTTGTGATTAGTCAATAGTTAGTTATTTTTATTAATTATTATTAGTCATTTTTATTAATAACATTTGATCCTTTATACTATGATATAATCACTAATATTAATGATCCCATTTAACTTTTGTGATTAGTCAATACTTAGTTATTTTTATTAATTGTTATTAGTCATTTTTATTACTAACATTTGATCCTTTCTACTATGATATAATCATTAATATTAATGATCCTATTTAACTTTTGTGATTAGTCAATAGTTAGTTATTTTTATTAATTGTTATTAGACATTTTTATTACTAACATTTGATCCTTTCTACTATGATATAATCATTAATATTAATGATCCCATTTAACTTTTGTGATTAGTCAATAGTTAGTTATTTTTATTAATTGTTATTAGTCATTTTTATTAATAACATTTGATCCTTTGGACTATGATATAATCATTAATATTAATTATATTATGAAGTCATAGCAACCACAGCATTACCAGTTATGGCGATATATTAATTAATATGAATGATTATATCATAGTCCAAAGGATCAAATGTTATTAATAAAAATGAGTTAAAATAAACAAATCAAAGGCTTTGATTTTTTTATGAGGGCTGGCAATTTATTATTATAGTCTAGGCAGTAGAAGATATTAAGTCATTTTCGACCCTCACGAGGGAGGATCAACAGATCCTGGCGACGTTGAAGAGACCCCGGGGACGAAAACCCTGGAGGTTTTGGCCCGCTGGAGATACGCCAACAGATGTGCCAGGGGTGGCGTAAAGAAGTTAATGGCAGGGCAAGTGGCTTAGCCGCACCGTTCTGTCTGTCCGCCTTATCTACGGATCACTGTGCACGTTCAACCCCTGGATTTTTTTCCTCGTCCAGAATCGATTTTCGAAAGCCGGGCTTATTAAAGCTGGAATTCACCATTTGAATTCGGAACGATGCGGGAAATTCGGCTTGAGTCAGCAGAATATTCAAACGCGCATTCTCATCGGAGGGTGAGCTTTAATTAAACTAAACCGTTAAATTGAACAAGTTTCAATGTTAAAGTCAACTCACATCCTAAGACGTTTATTTTAGACTTCCTAATTACCATAATCGTTTTTCTGTAATTTCAATCATTTTGTGAAAAAACAAAAACAATTGATAAAATGAACAATGAATAGACTCAGTATCAGGAATAATCATGATTCTATAACATGAAAAACCAACGGAATCCCAAGATATTGTCCAAAAAGATAATATATCCATTGGCCATCCAGCTTTCTTTAGTAAAGTAAACTACCCAACAGAAAGCCATCATGGACTCTCTAAGTCCCGAACCCTACCCATCTTCCCGTAAAAGAGGATACATTTTAAAATGGATCCTTAATGAGTCCAAAGTTTGGTAGAACAATACTCCAGGCATGAGACACACGAAGAGATTCATAGATGGGCTGTCCGCAAAACTTACAAGGAATTACTTTAGACAACCGCTACGAATCAGGATTCTGGTTGTACTCTGACTAGGTATTGCCACCTAAGAAGCACATGCAGCGGGTAGAAGTAGAGGGAGAAGATACAGTGCAGATACTGCCAGGAAGAAGAAGAAAGTAGAACACATTTAACTAAAAAAATGATCTTGAAATATGTATTGATAGGTTGCTAGTTAAACTTTAACTTAACTTTAAAAGAAGCAACAATAGGATTCAGCCAGCCCACCTTTAATGAATCCTTAAGTTTTCCGTTGTATACCATACATTGGTGAATTATCGGAAAGAGTTAGTAAAATTTTTAAACAAGAAGGTTTTAGAAGTACGGGTTCACTTAGAAACATCCTTTCAAAACCTAAAGACAAATTTTTGGTTGAGATAAAAAAGTCAGCGTCACAAGCGGGATTCGAACCACGATAGCTCAAGTGGTAGAGCAGCGGCGTACTTAGCCGAAGGTCGTGGGTTCGAATCCCGCTAGTGACGCTGACTTTTTTATCTCAACCAATACCTTAATTAATTGAAAAGAATTTTATTTGGTCAAGCGGACCACGAAACCTTATAAACAACCTAAAGACAAGGCAGACAACTTGGCAAAAATCGAGGTTTACCAACTTAATTGTAATGATTGCGACATTAAATATATAGGACAAAGCGGTAGAGAAATAGAAACAGGAGTTAAAGATCACTTGCCTAACTCGACCAAATTTTCGGAATTTAAGGATCATCTAAAAGAAACAAAACAATTTTAATTTAAATTTAAATATAACAGTGTTACATAGTTTCAACAAAGAGAGGGAACTAGATTGGTTTGAGACATTTGAAATTAAAAAATGTAAAATGAAACATGAAACGATAAAGATAAATGCATCAATAACATAATAGATTTTGATCTGCCTCTTATTTTAAATATGTACATAAATAATTTTAGACATCCAAAATAATCAAATTAATTAATTTAATTTTTATTAATTCTTAAGGTATTATTTTAACTTAATTAGCATCTTTAATCGCTAAATTATAATTAATTTCTTACAGTATTTATTAATATAATATTTACTCGTGTTATAAGTTCCGCTTTTCGCACGTTCAAAAATGAGCGGCATTAAAAACCAGATTATCATTGGAAGGTTGCGTTGGTGGGGGTATCGGCGAGTTGCAATTCATGTCGAGTGGCGTGGTTGTAGAAATCCTTGAACCTGATGATGAGCTAAAAGCTTGAAATCCGGATCGTTGCAAAACAACTTACTAGGAACTTTCTCTTTAAAAAGAATTGAACACCGCACTCACACCACCATTCATAATTTCTATTCATCATTTCTAATAAATATTCACTAGTTTTCGTGGTCCGCTTGACCAATTAATATCTGTCAATTAATTAAGGTTTTTAGTTGAGATAAAAAAAGTCAGTGCCACGGGCGGGATTCGAACCCACGACTTCGGCTAGATACGCCGCTGCTCTACCACCTGAGCTATCGTGATTTCGATCTAATCGGACACTAACTTCCCTTCTCAACCCCACCTTTTCAGTTTTCCTTCTTTTTTGCCATTTTTCAAATGTCGTGCAATCTATTTGATTCTCGGCGACAAATGAAATGGCCACGGAGAGCTTTAGTGAAGAATACTTCATTTTAATCCATTAAATTCACTAATTTCGTGGTCCGCTTGTCCAATTAATACATTTCAATTAATTAAGGTTTTTTAGTTGAGATAAATGAGAAAAAAGTAAACAAGTTTTAATTCTATTTTAAATATCAAGAAAGTAAAATTATCATTATTTTAAAATTCATTGTTGTAAACTTAACGACGCTTCTTTAAGTTTCCACAGTTTTACTTTTATTTCACCGTATATTCAAATGGGAAACTTTTCCGGTTGGCCATTCATTTAAAAAACATGATTTATTTTTGAAATATTGCGACGAAATTTGAGAAATATTTAAATTTGCTTTATAATTTGAATGTTTTACGTTCATAGACAGGGTTTGATGGGGCAAAAATGTCTGAACGAAGGCGAAAGTGTTTACAATTTTAATTAAAATATTTTTCCAATTCATTTGCGAAGGGAAACAGTGCGTATTAGGGTTTGTAGACTTGCGGCTAATAATCCTCCAGGGGGATTGGATGCGGAGAACCCTATTATCGTGGCTGAGAGAGGGATTTTCACTAAGCCAACATTCTTTATGAGGGAATCACTTTTATGGCACGGCTTTAATAGGAGCCATGAATATCGATTACGAAGCGAAGCCGGTGGGGCCGCCGGTTTCGAAAACCGAGAGTGGAATTGAATTTCTTCAAGAAAAGTTCCAACTTACTTTTCGTCCGAAGGGACTTCAACGCAGTTTTCCGTACCGAGTCCGCATACAGCCGCGCAGCTTTTGACAGAATAGTGGCACTAGAACGTAAATACAGATTAGTACAATTCGATGGAAACACAGCTGGCATATTATTACCTGGTCTGAAGTAAACATGACCAACTGGGCTCCTATCGACGCCTGCCCCTTGTCCTTGTAGTCGGGGAACATGTGGTGGCGGGCAGCGAGGAAGGCGTACAGGTTTGAAATCGACCCACCTGAAAGTATTCCAATGAGTATCGAACCTTTTTCGCCTTTGGGCAATGATTTTACCTGGGGCGAGGATGGAATCGCCGCACTCCCAGCCGATGATCCGGCGCATCTTCGCCAAGACGACGCTCTCCATGAGGATGAAAACGGGTGCGATTTCGTATGTGAACATGTTCGTGTTGGCCGTGGCGGTCAGCCACTCTCCAGCCATCGACACCAAGTCCAGCCCACAAGACAGCTGATTGAAAAAGTGAGGGTGTCCTGGCAAACAAAATCACAGCTTAAATAATGACTGATTCACATAAAAAGGACAATAAATGGTGAAAAGTTTATAACCAGACGTACGTGAATTCAGACCATGGAGATTATTAAGGTTTTTAGTTGAGATAAAAAAGTCAGTGTCACGAGCGGGATTCGAACCCACAATCTTCGGCTAGATGCGCCGCTGCTCTACCACTTGAGCTATAGTGACCTCGATGTCGATCCACTCGGACATTAACTTGAACTTCCCGTCTGAAGTCTGAACCCCACCTTTTGAATTTTCCCTTCTCCCCTTTATCGAAAGTGAGAAAGGAATTAGGGATAGAAATTCATTTTTCTATGAGGAGTCGGATTCTTTGAGGTATTTCTATCCCGAGTTCCTTTCTCACTCCTTCAAAATCAAGCATACACAAAAAAAACCATTAATATCTAACACTCTCAACACGACACACAACCGTGACACATCTTCACAAAAAAGACACACTTTGAGTTTGTACAAACACTTCGATTAAACCTACAATTGTATAAATTCATTTTCCCATCTTATATGACCACTGGTAACATTCTGCAATTTCGATATTTTAACGGTCATCGACGCCGGAACTTATTCAAAATGTGATCGTTTCATTGCAAATTATGACAGTAAAAAAACTAATGACACTATTGCAAAACTATGCTTAATTAGCCGTTTAATCGATTATTTTTCTTGCTTAATACATGACAAAAGAAAAAAACGTATTACTTTATGTTCTGACGTCATGAATTCTCTAGTGTAATTATTTAAAGGTTGAACAGGTGTGACAATTGTAATCGAAAATTCATCTCTTATTCAACAATTTATTTTATTGGACTTGTTAAAAACGAAGAAACCAGAGGAGAGCCACTTTATCTTTATCAATAATGCACGGTAGCATATAAAATTGCATATCTTTTCTATGAACATAAGGAAAACATAAAAAAATCTGATCAAAATCGGACTAGTAGATTTCGAAATTACCTTTTACATAAAAATTAACTTTCTTTATTTTATTTGGAGATCGTGATATGCGGTCTGGGGTGACGTAGATTTAGCAAAACATTTTCATTATCGTGCCAACGTTTTGAGCTTAACTGAGATCATCTTCAGGGCCTGTGATTTATCAACAATGTTTAAACTATACATTATTTATAATACGATTTTGATAAATCCCTGGCCCTGAAGATGATTTCAATAAAGATCGAAACGTTGGCACGATAAAGAAAATGTTTTTGCCAGTGACGTAGATTTAGCAAAACATTTTCATTATCGTGCCAACGTTTCGATTTTTATTGAGATCATCTTCAGGGCCTAAGATTTATCAAAATTGTTTAAATTAAACATTATTTAAAGTACAATGTTTGTAAATCCCAGGCCCTGAAGATGATCTCAATAAAGTTCGAAACGCTTTACGAAACGTATGCGGTCTGGTGTGACGTAGGATTTAGGAAAACGATCTCTTTATCGTGCCAACGTTTCGATCTTTATTGAGATCATTTTCAGAGCCTGGGATTTATCAACAGTGTAATTCAAATAATGTATAATTTAAACAATGTTTACAAATCTAGGCACTGAAGATGATCTCATCGAAACGTTGGTACAATAAAGAAAATGTTTTTCTAAACCTACATCACACCTGCTAGGTGTTTTTTCTTCCTGCATCTTCACCCAAAGGGCTCTATCAGGATCTATCTTTTCTCGGTCAAAAGGCTGTGCCTAGCGGTCTTTTCCGCTCCCCCGGAACTTTGTCACGCTTAAGCTTGTCCGTGATGGCTGTCTTGGCGTTATCCGGTGGGGGCTTGGGAGCGGAATTACAATTTGTTCTTAGCTATTTCGCACTGCAACGAAAAACATATTTGTCGCTCGCGATTTTTAGGGTGCCACCCTTTGTGTTCCATAATTTTGTAAATAAGTTTTTTAATAGCTATAAATTTTTTTCTGTGGCAAATATGTTTTGTAATGTGAACACTACTCCTCTTTCAGCTTCGCTTTTCCAATTTCGTCTTAGCGCATCAAAATTTGTGCACTCACAGACCGTATGACTAGCCGTCTTCTGAAGTGCTCCGCTTGAACACAATGGGACTTCCTTTAGACGAAGTGAGAAAAGTTTTGCTGCGAAATCCCCATGGCCAGTCATTGCTTGCGATATAAAATGGTCAACCGATATGTGCCTCATTTTCATTCTTTTTCTTACGTTAGGGAATATCTGGTATGTATGGCGTCCCTTGGTACTTAAGTCACACCGACGTTGCCATTCTGTTTCTGTAATGCCCAGAACTTCTTCGACATTTGTTGCATTGATACTCGGCCGTTTATCATTTTTAATGTCCCATACTGAGTTTGTTGCTATCATTCGCAAATCTAAAAGCATCCTGAGATAATTTGCAATGTCTCCATTGATGTTGTCCTAAAGGCTTGCGTGACCAGCAGTAATGCTTTCGTTTGTGCTTTTATGAGCTGCCCAACCTGTTTTTTTTTTTTATGTACCTTAGCCATGTAGGTAACGCGTACAATTGATTCTCATATTGATTTGTACATAATAAGGCGGCTTTTATAGGTGATACCCCACGTTGGGAGTACTTTGAACCGCATCTCACGATCTCCAAATAGTCACTAAATACTACACATTAAACAACAACTGATTGGCAGTTGCTCCTACAAAATAGCTCCTTATTCTCATGTTTTCTTCATTCGGTTCGTTTGGTGAAAAATGCAGAAAACATCAATAGTTGTGTATTGGTTCGTCGTTTTTGTAAACAATCTCCGGAGATAAGGGACCAGATAAAGTCGGAAGCAGGAAAGAGGGTTGTAATTCAATGAACGAGGCAATCATGGCCGGTTTGTGGCCGGGCTAACCTGGTTTTGCCGATGGGACTAACTAGGGGCCCATTCACATGGAGATATTCAATAAGAGATAGGGAGCATATTGTCGCCGACCGACCCTGGGGGACTCCTATCTACCCTCCGCAACCGCCCCGCTGTTTATTTTGACACCCTCCGCTCATCTGATTATCATGTACTTCATTTGATTTGCGGCTTGAATATTAAATCAAGGAGGGCTGCTGGGAGAAAGAATCGAGACGAACTTGTTGGAACACAAGCTTCAGAGGTAATTTTTTTTCTCTAACGGCGAGATGAGTCGATAAACCCAAGATCAGCACTTAAAATCTAACAATGAACAAAGTTTTAAATTAATTAATCTTTATGTAAGGTATTGGTTGAGATAAAAAAGTCACGAGCGGGATTCGAACCCACGATCTTCCACTAAATACGCCGCTGCTCTACCACTTGAGTTATCGTGATTTGATCTACTCGGACACTAATTTCCCATCTCAATTCCAACTTTCGAATTGTCCCTCCTTTTTATCATCTTTCTTTCAGTTCGATGAAAGTTAGAGTAGTTCAGTTAGCGTCCGAGTGGAAATTCAATAATAAATTTTACGAAATGAAAGGGTTACTAATGGGGTCTCCATTATCCCCACTTTGTGCTGAAATATTCATGGATAATTTCGAAAGAAATCTTTTCAAATCAAAGAACAAATTAATTAAATTTGTTCATTTCTGGAAACGCTATGTAGACGATATTTTATGCATATGGTCGGGAACATTAGAAGCTCTCAAAGAATTCCTACAACTAATTAATTCTCTACACCGTAATATAAATTTTACATTGGAAATTGGCAAAGATGGCTGTTTGAACTTTTTAGACCTAAAACTGTCCATAATAAACAACCTAATAGAAATAGACGTATATAGAAAACCCACAATTACAGACACTGTGATACCAGCGGATTCTTCCCACCCATGGTCCCAAAAGGCTGCTGGTTTCATTTGGCTCATAGACCGGATGTTAAAACTTCCGCTAACACCTGATAACTATAAAAAATAATTAAAAACTATTAAAACCTTAACAAAAACAACGGGTATCAAGAAATATTTATAGATAGGTTGCTAGTTAAAAGAATAAAAAAATTAACTTTAAACGAATCAACAATAGGACTCAGCCACCCCACCACAAATAAATCATTAGGTTTCCGTTGTTTGCCATACATTGGCGAATTATCGGAAAAAGTTAGTAAAATTTTTAAACAAGAAGGTTTTAGAATAGCTTTTAGAAGTACGGGTTCACTTAAAAACATCCTCTCAAAACGTAAAGACAAAGTAGACAACTTGGCAAAAAGTGGGGTTTACCAACTCAATTGTAATGATTGTGATATTAAATATATAGGACAAAGCGGTAGGGAAATAAAAAGAAGTGTAAAAGAACACTTGCCTAAATCGAGCAAATTTTCGGAATTTAAGGACCATCTAAAAGAAACACAACATAATTTCAATTCAAATTTAAATACAAGAGTGTTATATAGTTTCCACAAAGTGAAGGAACTAGATTGGTTTGAGAAATTTGAAATTAAAAAATGTAAAATTGAACATGGTGATAAATGCATTAATAATATAACAGATTTTGATTTACCTCCCATTTTAAATATGTACATAAATAATATCAAACATCCAAATAATTAATATAATTAAATAATTAGATTAATTATTTTCAAATTGAGCGTCATAAAAAAAAACTGCTGATAATTGGAACGTCGCGTTGGCGTAGGTATCAGCGGTTCACTTTGGCAATTCATGTCGAGAGACGTGGTTGTGGAAGTCCTTCAACCTGATGATGAGCTAAAAGGCTCGAAATCCGGTCGTTGCAAAACAACTTACTGTGAGTAGGAACTATCCTTTTAAAAAGTATGCAAAATATATTTTTATATATTCAATCAAAGTATTTCTACTCACTCAAAATGTTTGTCTTCTGTTTAATTGTGCCACACTTGCGTGTCGTGTCGAGAGTATGCTATATTGCTGTTTTATGTTTATATACGTAGGATTTTGAAGGAGTGGGGATGGATGTCGTTATAGAAAAGACATTTTTGTATAATGCGTCGGCTTCTTTAAGGTGAAAAGAGCCGACGAAGGGAAAAAATGTGTTGGCAATAGTTCGGTCAGATTATCCTTTCAGGATTGTATAGAAAGGGATAAAATAGGAAAAGGAAAGCTAAATTGTTGGAAAATTCGACTATGTGAAAAATATTTGATGTGTGGAATGTGATGTGATGATATAGGTATGTTATCTGTTTTGAATTTGATTAATGATATTGGCGTAGCTGCAACTGAGTTTACATGTATCTGTTCTGTAATTGATGCTGTGTTTATCTCATATAAACCATTTCTAAAAAATTACGTTTATGTTTGTTTTGTTCTGTGTGTAATTTTTGGATTGTTGAAGTCGAAATTGTGTTGGTGTTCAAAGTGGTGCGTAGCGAGTGCTGTAGGATTTTGCTTGGGTTTTTGCAATCATAGATATGTTGCTTTACTCTCTTATCCAGACATTAGGATGTAAGACCGATGAAAGTTGCCGGACAGTTTAAACAATATGTTGTAGATTACGACAGATTTATTTGTTATTAGTGTGAGATCTTTAATTTTGGAAAAAAGTGTTTCAATTGTTTTATAATTTTTGAAAGCTAATTTGAAGTTATCAGACAAGAGAAATGTGTTTAATTTATGTGATATGCCTTGAATAAATGGTATGGAAATGTATGCTTGTTTGTTTGTATTTGATATGCTTAATGTAGTATTGTTAGTACTAGTGGATGATGTTAGTGTTGAGTTGTAGTTATTGATTATTCTGTTGATTATGTGTTTAGGGTAGAGATTGTTATGGAGGATATGTTTGTATATCTTTATGTTCTTGTGGTGAAATGATTCATGGCTTAAGGTAATCATTCTGTGAAGTAACCCTGTGGCCGTGTTTATAAAGTAAAGGTAGCGATCTGTGTTTCTTGGTTTTTGATACCAATCTGTAATTAGTGTGATTAATCTGGTTGTTTTATTACGTGTGTATCTAAAAATGGTATTTTTTTGTTGATTTCGATTTCATGTGTAAATTGTAGGCATAATTTATGTAGGCGTTTGTACTTATCGATTAACGGTCACTAATCACCACACATTTGATTTATATTTTTATTTATAGAATTCACAGCTGAATAAGATGATTGCCAAATGTGTAATTTCTTAAAGTGCATTGGATGGTTCCTCGTCACAAATTCTGTCCAATAACGGGCCAGGAAATAATCCAACAACAAAGTGATTTTGAACGCAGTCCTCTGAACGATTCCAACTTTACTGAGACGAGCAGCCTTTTTTAATCGTGGGAACCTGTCATTTACAGATTCACTTTCAAATTTATGCACTGAATAAAATTCAACCCTTTTCTGAAATGATGATACCTGAAATGGTTGCCTTTGCAACCTGTTCCACGCACTTGTAACGTTTTATCCGTTGCGCTCTCTGAATAATAAAAACGCGTAGAATTCCGAAAAAGACAGTAACTTGCATATTTGCTTCAAATTGTTTGCTCAGAAATATATTTTCTTCCAGTCTGTGCAGATGTTACAGACTTCTTCACTTGGATTGAATTCCGATAGTGAGCCAATTAATTAAGTTTTTTAGTTAAGATAAAAAAGTCAGTGTCACGAGCGGGATTCGAACCCACGACCTTCGGCTAGATACGCCGCTGCTCTACCACTTGAGCTATCGTGACCTCGATCCACTCGGACGCCAATTTCCCATCACAACCGACCTTTTGAATTTTCCCTCCTTTTTTCCATTTTTCAAATGTCGTGTAATCTGTTTGATTCTCGGCGACAAATGAAATGGCCACGGAGAGTTTTAGTGAAGATATACTTCATTTTAACTTATTAAATTCACTAGATTTCGTGGTCCGATTGGCCAATTGATGTGTTTCAATTAATTAAGGTTTTTAGTTGAGATAAAAAAGTCACGATCGCTCGCACGATGAAAGTATCGAAGTCACGATAGCTCAAGTGGTAGAGCAGCGGCGTATTTGGCCGAAGGTCGTGGGTTCGAATCCCGTTCCTGACACTGACTTTTTTAACTCAACTAAAAACCTTAATTACTTGTAATTTATTCTTTCTAAAATGATGAAAAACTATTAACACTGATGATGAATAATATAACAGTTACTCAATGTCTTTAATCTTAGATATGTTAACGAAATATTTTTCATGGTAGTAAAAGTGAAATTTTCATAAAGTGCATCATGGGACAAAAAAAGGGTTGTTTAAAAAAAGAAAAAGTCATCTTAAAACCACCCCAGCCCCGAAAATCCGAGCCCACCCTCTTTCAAATGTAGTGTGTCTATAGCCAAACATCAAACTGTTAAAAATGGGATTAGCGGTGGCACAATGCCCGGGGGCGGCATTGCCGAGGGGTGGATATTGTCCAGCCAGGCTGAAAACAGGAGTAGTGACGTAAGCCCCAGTTAATAGCAACTCGCATCCCCCTTTTAATCCGCCACCCCCGCCCATGTGTTGTCTGATTGCTCTTAAATTACACCTAGCTCCAATTAGGCGCATCTGTCTGCTCAGGGGCGACCCTTAGAAATTCGGACAGTTTCTTGATGATATTTTCGTTCTTTTTCTTAACCCTGGAAAAACGCTTACTTTCTAAACAAGGGAATTTCGACTAAAAACAACCTGTTGTCTGAAAATTAATAAATACGTTCATCAGTTGATCATTTTACATTACCTGTCCTGACTTGGTATTTGAGCGTCTTGACACAGTCGTCGATGAGCGACTGGAGCGAGCGCCCCTCATCAGGTATTTCCAGGTCCAGCAGGTTCTTCAGGTCTTCCGGGTGGTAGAAATTGAGCACCTTGCAGTTCCTGTCATTCGTCTCTTTTACGAAATCAAGGAGGACGTTGGTGAGCTCGCGAAGCAGCGCTTCAGAGACAGCCGGGTCTTGCGAATGTGGAAGAAGGTCTGGAAAATCATAAGAGCCAAATATTAGTTTAAATAAATATCAATAAACTTGAATTTCCGGTATAATATAAGTATTTGCACTGTCATGGCGTAAAAATAGAAAAAATAAAATATATTAATTTAAACTAGGTTATTTTATACAAATTTGTGCAAAATCTATTAACGCAAGGTACTCTTCTTTGAAGACTTAAAAAAGAAAATATATTAGGTTTCACTGTTCTCTATATTTGAAAGTTCAAACATAAAAAACGACGATTTTGTTTGTGTGTAAAAACTAATCTCATTTCGATTTTGATTTTTTGTTCTTCTTCTTGTTTCATCTCAATGGCAACTTTGCCACTTTCTTTGGACGGCCCCATCTCAAAGTTATTTGCTTATGTCGATAATTATATCATTATTACCATTATTAATGGAAAAGTGCTAAATGGGGTTTCAAATCAACGCTACGAACAATTAATAATTTTCTAATCCTGCTATTGTTTATTTGACTATTTTTATATGATTTTTGCTTTGCAAACTTTCTATAGAGATTTCAATTAAAAAAATCAATAAAAATAATTATCTTCAAAATAACTAATAGATAACTAGCAATAGTTAATGGATAATAAACAATAACACAGGAAAATAAGCATTTTAAAAGTTTCTCTATTTGAAAGAGAATAAACTCTCACCAACAGCGATAATAAATTTTTGAAATGGAGGATAAAAGATATTTCCAGGGCAAAAATTTTTTTTTAAGTGATGCAAAATTCGTAAGGGTACACATATGTATATAAATATGTAAATTTTTTTAAGTTGGGTTCCTGAACACTAATTTTTTGAAGATTTTCACTATTGAATATTGTTGCGCTGTTGTGTTGTATCAAATACCGGGTTTTTTTTGGATTTTGAAATGAAAATTGAAAAAAAAGATAGTCGTGTACACATTTTCTATACACTCAAGAGTTATATAAGGCTGCCAGGGCTGTGTCATTACTGGGAGGGTTAAAGGATCAACTTTGATGTGTGTCCAATTCCGAATGATTTCCGAGTGGTTTGGCCCCAATACCGGATATAGAAAGGAAATGAAAAGTACATCGATGAACCGGCGCGTGAAACTAGCTAGGGGTATCGTTTCCGACTGTTCTATTTTCAACTTCTCCAAGCAGCGAGCTAAACATTCAGCGGATCCATTTAATTTGCAAGTACCGAGTCGAACACTTCCAACGGCGATCCGTCACCGTGAGCATTGTCTCGGGAGTTGACGTTTATTCTGGAGAAAGGCAATATCTTCTGTGTGTTCACCCCCGGAAGTACACGACTGAGAGAGTGATTATCTTTTTAATTAATGCCCCTCGCTTCGACGACAGGCAGATGCTTCGCATTCCTCTCTCGAATAACAGCGGTTCCCTCGCTACAGTTTAATCTCAAAGGGGAGAGGCACATGTTATTAAAAACGGGACGCTTTGTCTCCAGTTTTGCCCTTCGGCTCTTTTTTAAAGTGAAATTATTGCCGGAGAGGAAAATGCTTTTTCTTCAAAAACGATGTGTGAATTTCAAAGACTGTACTTGTGAAAATTTGATATACAAAGGGCATTATGTTCATTGTGCTATTTAACATACAGACCTAATTTTTTACTGGCTCAAGAAATTTAGACAATTTACTAGACAAAGTATAAAGAATATTGTGTTTCATAAAATCTTATAACTGCCGAGGCACAATGTAATTTCTGTGAACGTGCAGACAAATTTGCGAGGAAATCCGAAAGACAAACTTAAGCCCTAGAACATACATTGTAGGTATATTAAACATAGACTCTAGAAATAGGAAAAGAACGCCCTTTTTAGGATCGGATCAAAACCGTTCAGTGAAAGGAATTAGCTTTTGGTCCTGGTTCACCGCTCGCTCTTACCAACTTTATCTTACCCAAAATTCCACGCGAAAAGTGTGGTCGGTTTTTGGATTTTAGATGGGTCAGCGCCAGGGCCAATCGTAAAGGTTGATAGTCTGAATTACAGACATTTACAGTCGATTTCTTGCACCTTTTTTAAAAAAAAAAAATCCTCAATCTTGGATATAGAATGCCATCGAATGCAAGCATTGGACCATACGTCCAAAAATTTTGCCTATTTCAGTCAGAAACTTCTCCATGGTATAAGATCACTCTTCACTCACATTTAAATCGTTGTATTTCATTTCAGTGAGAGTATATTAAAACAAATAATTAGCTGATCGTAACGTAATTTTTTTTGTAAAACGTTATTGCCCAAAATGGGTCTGGTTTCAAGCGGCAGAACTACTCCCAGGAAAAGATTTTCAAATTTTAGTTAAAACTGTAGTTAACTATTTACACTTTTAATCTGAGGTGTTGGTTGAGATGAAAAAGCAAGTGTCACGAGCGGGATTCGAACATACGACCTTTAGCTAAATAAACAGTTGCTCGGACCACTTAAGCTATCGAGACTTTGATCCGCCCGGAGACCAACTCCTCATCTCAACCGACAACCTATGACAACAATGTAATACTCTTCAAGGAGACCTGTGGGGACTGGACAGGCACCGGCAACAATATCGATTAAAAAAAAAGACACTACGAGTTGAGCTTTGACAAATCGAGCACCGTCTACAAAACGAGTGGGCCCTTTACCCAGTTAAAATCTTTAAAATCTAACTCGCAAGTTGAACATTGCTTTGGTCGCTGTTTCAACCCAGACGTCTTTCCTGGAGTCCCCGGACGTCCAGCCGAGAGACCACAGCGTTCACCAGTTTATCGAACCACAAGTTTCTTTTTGTTATTGTTAAAAAAAAATTATTATCGTTTTTACTTTGCCTTTAACATTCATTGTTTCTGAGCTGCCTACAAGCCATCAGAGAAAACAGGATAATTTTGTTTCATTATAACTCTGTAGACATTTATTTTATTTTCCTTTATTCCAGACATCGCCACCCAAAACTGGTCATAAACCTTTTCAATTTCTTCCCTTTTTTTGCCTTATTTTCAACAATTCAAACACTTTATCTTTATTATCTTATATTTCTTTACTTGGTCAAGGCATGCCGTTAACTTTTAGTGTTAAAAAAAGAGTTTACTTTGGGCGACAATGTTTTGGAAAATCTGTAGGATGATTCTCACTGTTTTGCCTATTTCCAGGATTTTCATTGCTTTTCATAGCTCAAGTGGTAGAGCAGCGGCGTATTTAGCCGAAGGTCGTGGGTTCGAATCTCGCTCATGACACTAACTTTTTTATCTCAACCTTTCATAAATATTAATTAATTGAAAACAGTTAATTGGTCAATCGGACCACGAACTGTAATGGATAAGGTCAAAATGTTCTTCTTTAGTTATTTAACTTCCATCTATCTAAGTCTGAGAGTTAGATGGTTAAGGTTGTTTAAACAAAAAAACAATATATGGAGGAGGGTAATAAAAATGCTGACTGGGCGGGTAAGGCCGTGACGTTCCAACCTCCGCGATCTGGCTCCCATGAAGCTAAAAATCCATCAAAAACATAATTAAAGTGGCAGTGTCCGTGGTTCAGAAGAGTAGCTATCGCATATCAAGGCTTCTTTCGATAGGTTTACCCCATGAAGAACTGGCCGAGATTTACACCCGGACATACTTTTGGACCAAGGCCCGCGTACGTATCCAGAATGTAGAGGTTATTCCATGTTTCCTCCTAATTGAGGTGTTCAATTCCATGGCTCTATGAAAGCGCATGGAATGCCATCCTTAATAAGAATTGTACTTGAGCATGGCAGCGAGTCACTGAGACGTCGATTTTTGGAATAGAGTTATTTTGTTGTATTTAGTACTCATAGTTTTCGTCTCTAAAGAGGTTTTAGAGTGAATGTATTTATTGTCGTAAATGTGTGAATGGTCTGATGGCCGACTAGCAAATTGACACTCAATTAGACTAGTTATGTAATAGGTGTGATAGCATAGGATCGAGTACTACACCACCCTGAGTGGGTGGAGTGTAAATAGGGACGAATATTTAAGAGTGGGTTTGGATTTAGGAACTGCATGCGTTAGGTGCCTAATTGACCTAGCTGTTGTTAGCCTCTGGAGTCCAAGCTGTGCTTCTGGACGGATGAGACCGAGTTACCTACCAGCACCAGAGGTGGGTGATTCTCGAGGCCTGCCAATTCATTGTAAATTACAAAAGCTGGAATTGATGGGGAACTGCGAGAAGTGATAGGTCCAACTGTGTACATATGTTTAAGCAAGGTATTGGTGAGATAAAAAAGTCAGTGTCACGAGCGGGATTCGAACCCACGACCTTCGGCTGAATACGCCGCTGCTCTAACCACTTGAGCTATCGTGACTTCGATCCACTCGGACACCAACTTCCCATCTCAACCCACCTTTCGAATTTTCCTTCCTTTTTGCCATTTTTCAGATGTGTAATGTATTCGATTCTCGGCGACAAATAAAATGACCACGGAGAGCTTTAGTGAAGACATATTTCATTTTGTTTATTAAATCCATTAGGTTTCGTGGTCCGATTGATCAAATAAATTCTTTCAATTAATTAATCTTTAAGCAAGGTATTGGTTGAAATAAATAGCTTGCTTAAAGATTAATTAATTGAAAGAATTTATTTGGTATCGGACCATGAAACCTAACGGAATGTATACATTGTATGTAAATGCGTGTACAGAGTTGAACCAGTATTCAAAAATAATGTAAATAAGATTGTATGGATACAAACTATGTTACAATCCAATCATAACCTACAATTATTATATAACTATGTTATATAATAATGACAATAATGAACCTGGCATGACTTATATTAAATCTTAAATATGAATATGATGTTTTGTAAATATTGGCGTATTTTGTTAAACGGGCGATCCATTTAAGGAAAAAGAAGTTGTTAAATAGTGTTTTCCACCCTCTCCGACGAGTTTTGATAGAGCTTACACTGCTATGACAGGGAGCTAAGTCAACACTTAGCCGTAAGTAATGCGAGACTGCTGCTTCTGACAACCTCCCCATCCTGCGGGTGCTGTCATA